GCGTGATGTCTGGACAGTGTAATGACCCCGGATATAAACAAATGATCGGGGTCATCAACTTCAATTGCGGTGAAGCACACTGCATTATCACTTCTTCAACGATCAAAACATTGAGTTTTCTTCTTTCCATAACGATTCTGATTGACAATTTTGTGCTTTCGAATGTTTCCGTAAAGGGGGCTTCAAGATTGAAATTTATGATGACGAAGAAGCAGACAATGACAAAGAATTCGGAAACCTTATTTAGCATGTTGCAGAGCCGCAAACACAGTGTAGCGTTGTAGAATACCTCCACTTTGATGAACGTATACCGACTGAAGCAATGAATGACGGCGAGTGGGAGCAACAGATTGTTGAGAATTTTATTGCAGACAAAGAAAACCATGAATCTACAGACAACGATGACAACGACAGTCAAATTATTGACCCCCACGATGACCGTGACTTGACGCATGGCGATGTGCTAGACATGTTGACAAGATTACAAAACTTCGCAATAAACAAAGACTCCAGCTACTTGACAGATATCCAAAATTTCATAATTCGAGCGAACAAAATCGTTGAAAAAAGATGTTCTTTAAAGCGGTGAAAACTTGATGATTTTTTTACATCGTAATTTGATTCATTGACTTAACAGCAAAATCAACTGTCTGCATAAATTATAATAATTACATGTAGCTCACGTGAACTTACGTTGTGATGTCATTCAAAATGGACGCCTTCAGTTACGATACGCGATACTTACCCGGTCTGTTCCAACAGTTATTTTAATGTTTATTGATTTCATGTACATACCATAATATTCTTGTCTTGTTTGGTAAATTATTTTATTGAAACAATACAATAAATGTAAATACATGTATAATCACCGGAGGCAAACTCCGGTGTCTTTCATTTGTCCCGTGTTTACAGCACATGTAATTGTTGTTTCAATCGAAGTTATGCCCACCCTGAATAAACCGACTCCCTCTGAAAACCGACCATAGATCCCAGTCCCAGTCATGATCGGTTTTGACAGGTTTTACTGTACATACTTAAAGAGCACTGTAACAATAATGAATCACCTAACACCTCCAATTGAACACATCCAAAATATCAGATTGAGCTCTATATTATGCATGCTAAATAATTTTATAATCCTGTGAAAGCCAAAGTCAACCTTTTCACACATTTTGATCAAGATCGATAAAAAATTACATCTATTAGGTCCAAAATTAATTAAGAAAATATAGATAAAAAATACATAAAAATGTGCAAAACGATACATGTAAATTTTTAAAGAAACCAAAATGACTATCAAAGGGATAATCAACAACTTGTTGCTACATGCATATATATACATCTAGCAGCAAAGACTTGCAATATTAGTAAAATGAAATACAAACTTACCCTTTTATCATTCATGGAGGCTAAAGATAACCCTGCCATCTCATCACCTAATGAACCATCAGGACCAGAGCTGCCTGCAAAAGTAGAATAGATTGTAGGTTCAATGGTAGCTAAATTAAAATAAACAAGTCATCAAAAAATTTGTAAAAACTATGATTTGTCAGCTTTTACATGTGAAAAACTTGTATAAAACTTATTTTATCGTTTTTTTTCTTGAGAATTAAAAAATATATTTACACAACACGTATTTATAAATTTTCAAAAGCGCAAAAATATAGTTTTCCAGTCTGCTGAACACAGTGTATTCCACTTTTAGTCTCAGACAAAATGTACTTTTTTTGAAGTACTTCTACAAATACATTCAATCAAGGTATTTATTTCAAGTTGTGTACAGAATAACATCCTTAATGTTAATGACATAATGCCAGACAAGGCACCATAAATAAAACAGATTGTTCTAGGTTCAGCCAAGAGGAGACACTGTCTAAAACTATGTTATTAGTCACAAGTGACTTGCACCCTGCATTTTGAGTACTGGGAAATTATTGTTTTCACTTAATCGGTTGGATGTATACTTTCTATGCATTATGTATCTTCCTGTCTGTACTAGGTGTACTAACTAACTTCTTTTGAAAGCACAGTACACATACACATACATGTAAGTTAATCACATGCTACACGACAAGCATAGTAGATAATATTTGGTAATTGTTGTTCTAAGTAACTATTCAAAATGACAAGCATGTTTGATGTGAATGAGACAGAGCACAATTAAATTCCAAATCACCATTTCTACTGTACATTGTCTGCATCTTTAGAGTTGCCATACCCAATACATGTACTAACAATGCAGCCTAGAAACAATCTATTAACTCTACTTGTAGGAATAAATCAATTGATAGGTAATACCCATTGCAATTCAACAATTTCTCTTGCAAACTGCTGCAAAATTCATTAACTGTCAAAAATGATAAAACATGCAACTGAAGTGTTTCTTGGTATATTTGTTATGCAGACATCCATTGGATAAAAATTGGATAAATTTATAGTCAGTATTATTTTATCACACCTAGTTGCACATTAAACATTGTGTCCATTTAGTAAATGATGAACTTACATAATTCGACAAGATACCTACGAGACACCACCCTATTTCTCACAGCGCTAACACACAGATAATCTACCCTAAATTATTGTTGAATGTTATAATTTTATCAGTCAAGTCACCCAAAATGCACAGAATCATAGAAAATGTTCAGAGAAAAATAAAACCCGACTTCCACCAAGGGCAATCTATGAAATTACAATTTTTCATCAGAACAGACAAAATGTTAGAATTTCTATATCAAAAGAATGACAAAAACTCTGCAATTAAGTTTGGCATGACCTAGTTACATAAATCATAAAACCATTGCACACAAGCTGACAATGGAGGAGGGATCAGAGATTACAAATTAATCCAAACACAAGACAGATAATAATATGTACTACATGAAAGCACATTACTGGGTATTTTTAGAAGAGAAATACATGTAATTGGACACATGAATTATTTTTCAGTTGAATGATTATTCTCTTTATCAGAAAAATGCCTCACTGCTGCATTACAGATAAGATTTATCCGTTTAATAATAGGCTCTGGGGCAAGTAAAAATTGTTGGAATACAATTAATCAATTACTTTAATGACAACACCGACATGATTTAAATAAATTAGTTTGATTTTAATTGCTATCACCACTAAATTGGATTTTAATTTATTTTTAGTGTAGGGATTAAAGTTGGTAAGATGGTTTCTGAGATTGCAAGTAAATGTGCAGCTGTTAAAAAGTTAAATGGCAAATAAATTATGATAACAGATTAAATTTTACTCCAAATATGTGAGAGGGGAGGCAATATTCAAACTGTTAAAATAGTAATAACACCCCAATCACAAGAGTAATTTTGAGTTGGATGAATAGCTACAGATACATTGATTGCACACTGTCACATTGTACTTGCCTGGGAAATTTCATTCCTGACCTAGGGGAACTTAATGTAACTTATGTAAATTAAGTACCTACATAATAATACCAGGTGGTAAAGCTTTGCAAGTGATTAGACAGGTGCACACACAGACCAAATAAAATCAGGTGTGTGCTAGAAATTTTGAAGATGTTTTTTGCAGCATATGACAATTTCATTTTTATAGAAGTTACCCCCGGTACTTGTATACTGGATATGTCTATGTATATGCAAATTAGTTATAGTTCTTGGA